AAGGTAGGTTATCCAAAGAGATCAAGTTCAGAACTTTGTCAACAGCCGATTGCCATCCGTCTCTACACACACACACACACACACACACACACATACACGCGCACGAACATCAATTATCACAAGTCCCTCATCTCTCCATAAACTCTGATTTCCTTCGCATATATTTATCTCTTCTCCTCACCCGTTTTAATCTGTTGAAAATTGTGCTTTATTTAGCCAGTTGACGTAACACCGAAAATGAGCTTGTTTGCTATTTTGTTTTCTCATGACTACCCAAACGGGAATAATTTTACATCAGATGAATAACATATTTTGGAGCAGACTATTCTAAACGCACCAGAAACGAATATCAAAAAGACGCATAGCAAGCAACCAGATTTCTTACCAAATGAGAACGCACGACTGACCACGTGATCCCAGCAGGTGACGCTTAACCCTGACTGGGTTCGAACCTTCATACGTCTTGTCCCTATTCCCTTTCACACAACACTCATTTTTGTTTGTAAACCACACTCAATCAACCAATTATATCTACTAATCAAATCCATACACACATATATGTACATCAAACGTCAGGAAAATGTAATATACCTATTGCCTATTTATATAACTATATTGGACCGAATATAAAGTCATCGAAAACAAGCTTGTTTGCTATCAGTTTACNTCAGTTTACTGTTTTCTCAAATGTCTAAGTCCATCATATACGATTTGTCGTTAAACTTAACGACTCAGGTTGTCTTCTGACAAGTTTCAAATCGCCAACGATGACCGCGATTACTGTATTCCCTGTGACCATAAGATATTTAACGCCTTTTTTATTTACCTCAAGATAAAAACATGTTCGTTTCAGGTTAAGGGATACAGATTTTTTTATGTGTGCAATTTAAACCCAACCAGGTGGGGTAAGTTCCACACTAAATGACTTCAGTCGACTAACCTTACCCTCGATATAAACTCTCACCTTGAAGACTGTGCAGTTGTCCGGCATAAATCGCAACTGGTCAATGTAGATACAGAATGGGTCCGCGTTGGTTGACAATTCCAGTCGTTGTTCCACTGAAGTCGGTTTCACATATTCAACCCAAGGGTCATCAATCGGTGTTGGCGGTGGACTGATTTGTTGTCTGATTTACGAGAAAAGGTAAGGGTAGGGTTTACCGAAAAATTAGCTTTCTGAATACCTGGAACAAGATATTTGCTGTTACGGATTTGTGGTGATCCCAGCTTACGGGATGACGCAAACCCGGGAGGGGGGGGGGGCGCCGTGACAAGTTACAGTTTCCAGACTACTGTGATGGGTCAAGCTTCCCAGATGACGCCATCAAAGTGACTACGCTTTACAGCTTCCGAAAAACGAACCATAGGCCGACTGTGTTGACCAATCAGAAGCCGTGTGGCCCAGACAAAAACTGTACAACGCCAAGAATACGAGCGCGCGATTGGTTGATGCCTGGATAACTAATAAACTTTCTTTGAACATTTTATTTAATCCCCTTGATTTCTTCCAATAAACGAATCGCTACTCCTGTGACCTTATCCTTGCGTCTCGATTACGTGGGATACCGTCATGCAAGTGCCAGTGTGAATCAGTGCTTACTTGGCATCCGTGATCCCTAATAGGTGATTTGTAATCCGTGGTCTGTGCGTACTTCAACCAGTACAGGATTCCAATCACGAACGAAACAGTTGTCATGCAAAAGCAATGAATTCGCTTCGGATTCGGAGTTTGGGAACTTGCACTTTATCAACTGTTCCCCTCCTGCAGCCCGGATCGCTCTCCGATTAACTCTATCCTCAGTGAAGTGTTTCGTGCGGATTATGGATACAAAAACCTAAACTGGGTTCCATATAGGCACCTCAGAATTGATGGTTCCATCAGTATGTCCGAGTCGAGTGATGGGTGAGATTCTAAGTGGACACAAAAGAGATGAACCAAAACTCTAAAAACGCTCAACTTACACATCTGCAATACTAATACGCAATCCTCAACGTGACCTTTCTCATTGATATCATAATAATAATTGATATTTTCTTATTTGCGTTCGATGTAGCGGATTGTATTCAGGCCGTACTTTTTCAACACACCCGATACCTGTCCTCGAGCGATACACAGATTTCACTTCTAAGCACAATACCTAAAACGAGCTGAATAATCATCGGAAAAATGATCAATTACGCGGTGCTCATTGTGGCGAGTCCGTCTTCCGAGATAACACTAGTCAATCGTCAGTGTGTTCCAGTTTATGGACATTGGGCTATGAACCAATCGTATCGATCGATTAACAGAGATACAGTTCAAACGCGAGCCGGGTGCCTCGAAGACCAAAGACAGTGATTGGTTGATACTCGTTTGACCAACGATATTTCTATTTACACACTATTTAATCACATTAGTTTCTTTCAATAAACGAACCACTAATTCTGTGAACTTTTCCCTGCTTTTTGGTACCTACTTCGATTGCTACACTCAAACAGTATCGGGTTAGGAATTTGTACCATCACTGCGTGTGATGTGTTTTTCTAGCATCGTGAATTCAATTGTTTCCTCATTTATACTTCTAATTTGAGCTTCGCTCCCCGAGCACCACTGTACGCGAATAAAAAAGTTTCAAGTCCCTGGGGTTTTCAAATTTTCTCACGTGTAATACTTATCGCAGTTCAGTTTCCCTGATGGAGTGGCGTTAAAATGAAGCCCAGTCCTACCCCATATAGAAGTGTTCTTCGTGTCTCAAATTTTGCATATCTTGGCAGCGCTCTCCAATCAATATGACAATCCTTCACTGGACTCTTCATCAATCCACTGATTGTAAGCCAACATTATAGTGTTGTTCAGATTTGTACAACCAGACATTTTGTGTGTGTATGCAAAAAAACATTGCGTCACATTTTTACGAGCGACCTCGAGTGATTTGTTACACGCGGAAGATGGTTTTGATACGCCCTGAGAAGCCTGTCACGCACAGCACTGCTGAGGTCATCATCAGTATCATCGATACAATCGAGATGTGAATGTAAAATGTTGAATGGTAGAACTGAACGACTCATCCCCAGGTCAACATTTTTATTACGTTGTTCAGCTGAATAAATTTTACATGAAAACCTTTCCCGTGAAATATATAATTCGAAAATGCAAAATTTGCATGTGTCAGTTAACATTTAATCTAATTTCCTTAATTTGTTTGTATGGTCGATCATTTTTGTGCGCTTATTATGTCTCACCCTTCGTGGATGCGGTCATTTTTATACCAAATTGAAGGAAGCTCCTGTGTTGAGTATCTACACGATCGAAATATGGTACTCAAAAAGCGTGACTGTGTTTGCGGTCACCCTGTGAATATACAGAAAATATTAAGGCCCTGGAGGGATTTATGTTTCGCTGCTGTAGATGTAAGAAACCCATTTCTCTTCGAAAAGGAACATTTTGTGAAAATTTGAAGATATCATTGTGCCTGCTGGTGGAGTTAATAGCATATTTTGTGATGGAACTTCTCATAGTGCTTGTCAGTAGCATGTGTCGTTTGTCCCAAAAGTCAACGATACAGTGGTACGTGTTCTGCCGTGAAATATGTTCCCAAACCTGTTTTCACTCAACCAACAGCTCGGTGGTTCGTCCAAGATCGTCGAAATTGACGAAACTGTTACGAACAAATTCAAATATGGACACAGAAGACCATCCGAAACTGTTTGGGTTTTCGGTATGTATGACCGTTTCGAAGGGAAGGGATTCTTCAAAAAGGTGGACAACCGATCGGCAAGCTCCTTTTTGCCGATAATCAAACGATGGATTGTGCCGGGATCCATCATTTACTCCGATGAGTGGACCGTCGTCCTTGGGATACATTCACTTAAAGGTGAATCATTCCCGAGGATTTATCAACCAAACGACAGGTGTCCACACGAACAACGTGGAAGGCTATTGGAATAGGATAAATACAAGAATGAAGGCAGTTTCCGGCTCCGTTGGTGACCGGAGGTGGGAACACTTGGATGAAATTCAGTGCCGCTACCGGTTACATTTCTCTCCCTCAAACATTGAGTTGGACGTAGAAACTTTTGAAAACACACCATTGAGCGCTATCCGATTGACTAGGGTGCATATTCATACTTTCGAAGTATCGTTTTACTTTAATAAACTTTTATAATCAATTTCTCGCATTCCGTTATAAAATTGGTATGTCAGCTCGATCATGTTACTTATGAGTAGTCATTATATTATTGCGAACGTTTCCATGAGGGTGACTGTCGTTCAGTTCTACCACTTGAATTTAGTTGTTTTCAACTAATTGTGCTGTTGTACTGGCATTTTTGTTTTCAAAATAACCAAAATTCGCATCCCTCCTTCCGCGCATTGAACTTCGTTCCTGTGCAAATGGATAGATACTCTTTTCCTCGTCAAAAAGATTATTCTCTCATTGACTGTCCCATTACGAATGATTTGAGCCATTTTGTATCACCTCTGATATTGAAGGTTTTTAGTGCATTTGAACTGACGAGCAGGGCGGATTTCATCAGCTATGATTAACTACTGATGGGGCACAACACACACAAACACACTCCCCTGTCACTACGATAGCATTCCTTGGATTTTGCTGGCCGTCCTTGAAATGTCTGGATTGGTTACAGCACTCAAGTGGAACAAACAGAAGTGTATCACGGCGATTTTGAGGCCACACAAGCAAGTGGCCTGTTCTGTTCGTGTGCTCACCCCGCGGGGATTCGGTTTCACGATCGATCAGGACGGGGACAAAGTGAGTGCCGCAGTTTAGCTATTATTATTAGCCGTGTCTTTTCCAGTCGTGTGAATTAGTTAGCTTTAAAGCTTTCAGAGTATCACGTAACTTTCTGTGATAAACTTACTGCGAAGATTCTCACAGATCTTGACCACCGGTTGCATGCAGAACTGACACTTTGTCGTTCCCATCATTCAACACGCTCCCAATTCCGCCAAATTTCACCTCGAATTAACGCTTACCGCATTTCGCCTATACCGTATCTTGCTCGTCTACTCATAAATAAAGAGCGGACAATAAGTGAACTTTGTCTTAACTTTGGATTATGAAAGGTCCCCATGTCTGTGAAAATTTTATCCCAGTTTATTATTTACACTGTGACGGTTGGGGTGTTTGAGTTTCTTTTACTGAATTGTGAGCCCAGTGCTTGCAGAAGTTATGTACAATATACAATCCACTAGAGAACAATTTCTGGAAGTTTTAACTAAAAGTGGCTCCGCTCTCCTGGTGCTACAATCCCACACACAAGGCGGTGCCCGGTCGAGGAAAGCTGTTGATTACGAATAACGATCAGAGTGTCAGTAAATTGTCATTCATACAACAAAATATCTCATTTAAAACGAGTTGGCACAACTCCCGCACGCAAGCAGGATAGTTGATGGAACACAGTTCACTGCCAAATGTGCCTTCTTGTATTCACCATACCGAACAGCAGCAATTCGTTCTAACAGGTCTTATTTAATTTTGACCACTGAAAGAAACCATCCATCGCCTCTTATTGCGAACTACTCACAAGTGAGTAGTATCTCACAACATGGGTACCTCTTCTTCTCAATCATAATTGAGTGTTCCCGATATATCGCATGTAAAAATTTGCATATTAATTCGCACAAGTATCTTATGCGATCAAAATCGATCAAAAAGAGATTTAAACTGCGCAAACATTGATACTCTATGACCCACCCTTTTGACTTACACCGATTGTTCCCCGGCTTGATCTGGTTGCAGATCATTCTCCGGAGACTTGCTTCGCTGCTGCGGTTGTGGTTGCTCCTCTGTTGAGATTGGAGACAATTTTTCCGACTTCGTTTCAACTACCTCGGAGTCCATCACATCTGACGATTTCTCATCACTTTCTAAATGAACAAGCATAATTTGGGGCAGATTTAGTGTATTTGTTGTTGGCCTCGTGCGTTGTTCCTCCGAGGCGTATGCCAAATTGAATCCAATTTGTGAACCGAGCAACAACAGTGGAACTGGTGAATGAAAAATAAACGGGTAGGTGTGATTGAGTGTCTGTCGATTAAATCAATGTTGCCGCAAATACAGCTACATGTGTACATCTGTTACTAACCTGTGTTTTAACAAGTGCTGAAAGAGCTGACTGGATTCCTTATAACCAAAAACCATAGAAAATAAAATATAATGATAAAGAGGTGTGAGCTGGAAAGCTGGGAAGCACTGGATAGCTGTTTTGACCTGGTTGAGTCTCATCACCAATGCGAATCGACTGATCCAACTGGGAGGATTGAACCCGAAACCTCATGGGCAGAACGCCGAGTAGGTTGCATGCCTGAGTCCTGCCATTGAGGTCCCGGGTTCGATCCCCCCAGTTGGGTCAATGGATTCGCACTGGCGATGAGACCTAACCAGGTCGAAACAGCTGTCCAGTGCTTCCCAGCTTTTCAGCTCACGCCTCATTTACACGACAAATTCATTATGTAAACAAATCAAATCTTCCATTACTCTCACAATAATAAAAATTTTGTATCTGAGCAAAAGTTCCCAAGAGTTGAAAGATGGGGGAGGGCGAATGGAGCATAAACAGTTAACATTTGCCCAATTCGCCACGTATTCATTTACCTACCTACTCAAACGGGATACAAAACACATCACTGGACGTTTTCCCCGGATATTCGTGCAGATTTAAAGTTTGTTGATAGATATTGAGTTGAAAAACATCATGAATAAACGGAGATAGATAAACTGTTCATTAAATTTCTCTTTAAAAGAGATCCACGTGTAGAAGGGAAACATACAACAAGTTAGTTATACAAGCGTATCGAACCATATCGCGCAGTGTCAAGACAGAAAGATAATAGAGATAATTTGTTCTCAGTTCTTGACCATTTACTGGAGAGAGAGAGAGGATCACTCATCTTAGACACTGATTTATTTATTGCATAACTGAGTATATCAAAATTGGAAAAAGTTACGGGGCCATGTTGCGTCTTGATTATCCAGGCCGAACAGTAGGATCAAGCTTGAGATCCAAACAAAACCCACTGTCTGAAGAAAACTGATTTGCAAGGTAGAAGGATGGAATGGATGGATGGATGGCATCCGGTGCTTAATTTGTCGCATTATGCACATTTTCGAGCTGCTTCGTACCCCTTGGTGATCACTCACACAAACCGGAAGGTGTATTGCGTACAACTCTCAAAGGTGGCTCGTAGTCAGGTCTGTTGTCAACTCATCGAAGTAAACGACCGGTAATTCATTAAACCGGGATGTTGGTTCGGTATATGCGGAATTGGAAATTCCCGTCATTTCTCAAGTCTCATCAAACAGATTAGGATCGATTAGGATTCGAGCAGTAAGAAAACGATCGAGGCGATTAGTATTGGCGTTCTGAATTCTGAACAGTGCGTCAAATAAAAGCTAAAGGAGTTTTACAAACTTCAGGCCAAATGTAATTCCGATAGACTAAACTCAAATGTATGAACCCGAGCAGGCCTAGTGTTGACCTAAGCTAGTCTTTAACGTCCTAGACGGATAATAACCCATCCGTGAACTGACTCAAAATGTCTATCCCCCAATGGCACCATTTTTAAATGTGAGCAAAATCACCGAAGCATGGCTTACCTAGAATCTGTGCTCTAATACAACAGTGAAATTATTTCGTCACAAAAGGTTTTTGTCACTTATGCTAGTTAATCAGTATTAGATAACATTTCACTATTACGGGTAAAGAGATAGAACCCGAGAACCGAATGGGTCTGGCTGAATCATAGAGTTGTTCGTGTGAAATCTATTCCAGATCATTAGTGAATATCGCTTGTGTGATATTTATCTCATTGTTTTTATACTTTATTGCAAATAAACACGGATAACAACCACAGGGATAGGAGGGTGTGTGTGTGTGTGTGTTTGAGGGTAGAGGAAAAAGAGGCATGAATATGTGGATAAAACAGTCGATACAATTCACACCTTTATCTTCGGTATCATCACTGAGATCTTCTTGGACAAATGCCAATGAGTTTTCTGTAATCCAGAACGATTCTTTCGCGAACGGTACAGTGTCATCGAGTGGGGGATTTTCAGAAACCGGATATATGCAATGCNGCAATGCTCCTCCCGCAGCAATACACATGTGGTCTACATTGATTTTGAATAGAAAAGAACAACAATTCATCTGACGGTAGCACGTGATTGGCACATATACATGGTACCATAAAAAAACAAATGAGCATTTCTATTTCAGTTTTTCGGCTTCGATACACATTCGTCATCTTGAAGAAGTCGGAACTAGAAAAA